AATGTCATTAGTTCTTATCTTTAGATCTAATCATATTAAATTGCTACTTAGCCACTTATTGAGCGATTATGATAACTGAATACATCCATTAAGATTCTTTTAACTTACTATTCTTTTTTTCTGTCTGTTCAGTGGAAGTTAACGCGATCGAAATAACAGAGAATCTTTTCTTCGCCATTTTCGGCCAAAAAGATACCAATGCCTTTATGATTTCATTAAACAGGAAGCAGCAGCCACAGTGGACGGTTATTTTTTTTAAGGTGATTTTTTTCAGTTAACTGCAATATAATTATTTATATAAATCATTTCTATGTTAGAATTTAATAAATATTTTTTGTTTCAAGGTATCATTCTCACTATACATGCTCGTCAGTGTCATAGTATTAATTAATCTATTAATTGCTATGATGAGCGATACATATCATAACATTCAATCACAGAGTGATATCGAATGGAAATATGGTCTCAGCAAATTAGTTCGCAAAATGCAAAAGTAAGTAAACACATGAAAAAAAGAGTAAATACTCTTTGCGAACACAAGAGTAATTAATCCTAGATTTTCATACAACACAATAAATGAATTTACACAATTACGTTTCCATTAAATTAAGATAAATTATTAATAATAGGTAAATTAAGATAAACTATTGATGATATTTCAAGTTTATGCTACTTATTTTAATAAATTATTATGATATTGTATTCATATAATTAAAATGAAAATTAATCTTACAAGATAACTGAAATTGCTCGTTTTTTAACAAGTCTTGATATCAATTATATTGCGTTGCATTCACACGAGCCTAATACACAGCATATAATGAATTGTTGTAATTTTGTAGGATATTACAATTCCAAAAGATGATTTTTTTAAGAATTATGAAACGAAAATAACAGAAATGATATTCGATCACTTTTAAGAGTATATTCTTTTTGCCGATAATTATTTAGTCAATAATTTTCTATTTATACTTAGTTGAAAAATAATTCTTTTCAAAAAAAGGAACATGAATTTTTTGAGTTACATGACTTTTGAAGTAAAGAACTATATAATTTGTTCATCAAACATTCATATAAAACTTGAAGTGTGTAATCTCTTATACGTTTATTTAAATTTGCAAATCTTTAATGTTATATTCTGATTCTTATTTTTAGAACAAAGACAGCTCCATCTCCGTTAAATCTTGTTACTACATGGGCCGAATATCTTAAAAACGCTTATATGAAAGAATGTATTAAAAGACAGAAAATTGGCAGATCACATGGATACATGGAACCCGATGTGCAAAAAACTTTTCCAAAATTCTCTAGCGTACGTAAATATTACCATGCTTATTAAATATAAAAATGTTACGCTTTACTAGAGAAATTTATAATATTGCATATGATAAATAAAGAAAACAAAGAAACGATTTTAAGTGTCCCCCTCCAATTTTGATGAGCTTTTAAAATGTTTTAATACAGATTAAAATAGGAAGCACATTTTTTTTTAAATAAGTTTTTTTACGCATATTGAAGAAAAGTTAAAATTGAAAAAATCAACTTTTAACTTCCTAAGCGTATATTAGATAAATGATAAGAGATATACATACCTAAACATACATATATAAAAAAAAAATTTTAGTGAAAGTAACCGATTTTTAATGACGCGTATTCAGATTTTCTCCAAATGTTTTTTTCTTTTAACATTCTTCTATATTCACTACTTTTGAGAATTTTGCAGAACCGTTTTTATAATCAAATTAAAATTTA